CTGCTTATGCTTTGTGCCCAGTGCTTCACAAGATCAGGCACAAAGCTTCCAGATGAAAGTAAACAATTCCCCATGACCATTTCCAGAATTAAACCATTAATTACTTGAATAAACAGTGTTTTTCTTTAGATAGTATTCAATTCCACTAAAATTACAGCCAGTTGTTTACCTATATTTTGCACTTGCAATAACTGAACTTTCTCACACTAATGTCTAACTTCTCATACAAATACAACTTCTACCAATATAAACATCCCTAACGAAATATCAATAAGTATCACGAACTCCTATCTGTATTAAAATTGGACTAAGGGTTACCTGCATATGCAGGCAGACGACCTGCAGATACTGGACTCATAAAAATGAGATGTATAAATTTATGCGGACTTTGGCCTTAAAATAAAATGTACCTGACAAATTCTTGTTAGTCGTAAGATTACATCTAAGAGTGAACTTTATCTCCAAATCATATAGAGTTTCTATATTCTATACAAAAGTAAAAATGATTTTCTATTTTATTTTGGAGAGGACCAGAACTTATTTTTGAGCAAGAAAAAGCTACTCATTCTAGAGTACATAAATCTTCAAAAGTTACAGAAAAGACATAAATTTTAGCTAAGGTTGTATCATTTTCTACAGAAGCGTGCAGAAAACCGTAGGAGATAGCAGGAAAAGCTGTGGTACTCTGAAGCTGCTGTAAACACCAGAATAGAGAAAACAGGGAGTAGCAAAAGGAATGTAGGGATTTTATCTCCTTTTAGCCTTTGCAGTTTCATCTGTAAGCTATGTTTTTGTGAAATTTCTGAAACTTTGGCTATTACTTCTTTCCCTTAAGGAGAAAGCAAGGAAGGGAATTCTTTTCAGCTGGGGCTGGGTTTGACCACTGATTCATAGTGAGCTTACACATACTGGCTGCCTCCTGTAGTCTTTCTGTTTCTACACAGCATCTCTATTTTTTACTGCACTGTAAGAGTCCTATTAAAGCGAAACCAACTTGTTACATTTTAGATTGTGCTTCCATGTATAAATAATTTATAAACAGACTAATAAATGAGTAACAGATGTTATAAGCCTATTACTGGCACAAGCAGTGTATGTTATTGTGGCTTATGTTGTGGGTTGTAAGTGCACCAGTAGAAAAGACTACGTAGGTCTATAGCAACCTATTGACTTCTTGTAGTTTGTAACAATTTATAGCTACTAATAAACCAATTATTAAATAACTTTTGAAGTATTTAAACGTATGAACAAAAATCACTTAGCCGTTTGCAGAGGGCCATCTTTGAAAAGGAAGCAGAAAGCAAACTATTACATTTATGAATTTCCTGCTATGTTTTGAGCCACCAGTTCTGCAGGCTGAAATCTTATATTACATAATCACACAATGGATATAGTGAGGGTAGTGTCAACATATTTTTTGAATGCTTATCAGTGGCCTGGAGATGCATATTTAAAATGAGAAATTAGTTTTGCTTACCTATTCTTCCATTCTTGTAGCCTAAACTGAGACTACAAAATTAGCTGACAAAGAACAAATTTGGGGAGAAAATATAAACAAGATAAACTCCTCCTCTATCCTCAGAGGATCTCATAAACTCAGGCTTAATGTTCCTTTGAGTACCATAAAAGCAATCAAATTTTATCCTGGAATTAAGCTGTCTCTAGCATTTCCCATCAGAACAGTTTCTGGACTGTTTATTCATTTAGGGAATCACCCTTTGATCTTTTAAATCCATAGTAGTGTTAAGGTACTGCGTGGCCCAGTTCAGAAAAACATTCTTTTATTAACTTCAGAATAATTCAGTGCTATGTCCACAATGCTTTTTGGGCCCTTGCCCAGAGGTAGAGCTCATTGACACAATTTTTCTTTGCATTAACCTTGAAGTTTAAGTATCTCCCCAAAGCCCAAGTATTATCGGGCCTGACACCTTTCTATTCAATCTTCCTACTCGCCCTGGGGAAAGGTATACATTTAAAATCTGGTTGAATCATAAGACTGACAGCATTAAATCATTTCTCCATCCTTTTTTATGGAGATCTTAAGTACATATTAAACTACAATCAGATGTTTAAGGCCCACAGATGACCATGTTGTAATGAATAAATACTAAAGTATCAGCTTAATTGGTTTCCACAAGTAGGTTGCTCTGTGTCAGGAGACTGTCAGTATTTCCATGCAGGGATTAACACTTCCTAACATCAGCAGAAAACACTGCCTTCCATGTCATGATAAGCTATGCGGAATGGATCTGCACATCCGTGAATAGGTATAGCTATATGCACTTCAGCAGGCACAAACAAGGTAGATCTGCCCACAAAGAGATATGGAAGCTGTAGGCAATCATCTGTGGACACCAGATAACTGAGCCAAAAGGTGTGTGGCCTTGTTAGTGTGGTGCAAAGTGAAGCTAACAATCTGTCTCTCAACAAAAGAGAAGAATTTGTATTATGAAGAATATTACAAGTTTATATGTAGTGTATTTGGAATACCTTGTGAAGTTTAATTGCTCTTCCCAAGCATGGACCAGATAACACAAAGGAAACTTTTGTTATATCTCCAATATCACCAACAGTCAACTGTGAGAAAAAGAAAGAAAAAAAAATTAACTGTACATTGTATATTACAATTTGGATGGCATACTTTAAGCCCAGGTAAAAAGATAAATAAAATCAGTAAAAATACTAGTCAAGGACATTAATGTTAGGCTGAGGAAGTCCCATTAAGATTGCAAGTTAATCTGAACTCACATTTGTATCATAATTTATGTTTATTTTTAACTGGGAGAATTGGCTGCAGAGCCTAGGCCAACATATGAAAAGCAAGGAAATGCATGACTGATTCTATATTTCCAAGCCAAATTCATATTACTATTCTTCTCACTTCACTTTCCTATTTACCTCCTCTCCATCACATCTTTATTCTCAAACTTAAACTGAAGTTTTGAACTCAAGGTGATTTTTAGCCCTGGCTGTTGGTTCTGTTCTCAGTTATCACAGGGCTCAAAAGAAAGGATGGCTGGTTTCCGTAAGTCATATGATACACTGCTGCTTGTAGCTTTTCATCTAGCAACAGTTAAGCAAATGATGTTTATATTGCCTTTTTGCAAAAGATGTGTAATGACTTTTTTTTCCATGTTTAGGAATGAAAACCTTTTGAAAGAGGTGACCCAGGTTCACACACCTGTCCAGAAGCTGCCATTAACTTCATGTGCAAACTACAGAATTGATATTTGCCCAGGCCTGAGCTCATTGTAGAGAGACACAGCTTCTAAGTAGTGAAAACAGATTGTTTGAGGTTTGAGAAATAGAACATAAAGGAACTATGGAATAGCTTCATTATTTATTGCCTCACTGTTAAGGCCTACCAGTCTTAATTCAAAGTTAATGAGGCTTTTCATGTCAAAATTGGCATTTGCTCAAGAGAGCTTTCATAAGTGATGTGTATTGGCCCACATGTGAGAAGTTCTTCAAGTGCTGTTTATTTAAGACATGGAGGTATAAACATTAACTCTGACAAACAAAAAATCGTTCCACACAACTTCACATATGTTGGCTACAAGGCTTACTTTGGTGGCAGTGTGCTCCCCCTGCCCTGCGTAAGCAATGACCGCCAGTGGGGGTCGTTGTGGTTGCATCCAGGTTATGCTGGGCTTTGGGAATGGATGGCAACACAGTAGCCAAGGGCTGCCTGAGGCAGTGAGTCAAATGACTTGCTGATATGCAAATATGACTATAAGTCAATCACCTTACTCTATAAATAGTGGACAGCCCAGGGCCCTTTGAGCTCTCCTGCACGGCAGCGGGCTGCACGGCGGGATCTCCCCTTGTGTAGGGACGCCTCTCAAGGTTACTCCTCGAGGTTGAGAGATTCCTTGCCACCACAGATTCTCAGTAAGTGACTAATAGCATGCTAAACTTTGAAATCTTAGCTAAGTGATATACAGGATTGCTTGCACATATATAATCCTTTAGACTTAAACTGTTGACCAAGTCTGGGACTAGGATTGGATCCAGCTGCACCTAGACTCCTCTCTGAGAAGTTTAGAAAGCAAGGGGGTCCTTTCTGAACCTCATGACTCAACGGGAGTCCCTGACAATTCCCTGACAATTTTGTCTGACCCTGTCCTCTATGCAGTAAATAATCAAGTGTACCTTGCCATCAGATCTTGTTCACTGTTGCATTTACCATTGAACTTTGTTAATTCACACTTTAACTCACTGTTTTCTATCAATAAAGTGTATTGTTGCTTCTCTCTTACGAGTGAAGTGCAGTCTCACTCCATCCGCGATAACTTTACTGAAACTATTTGGTAAGATTTGTGTGAAATAAAAAGGAAACTGACCAAAAATGGATTATCATTCAGATTCTGAACTTCCTGTGCAGGAGATTTCCCTTTTCTTCCAAATACAACAACTTGAATATCAGGAACATCTTCTGGTACTTGTGTACAGTGCACCCATGTTTGCCATCGTCCTCTGCTTTTAATATCAAAATCTTTTGTGAGAAGAGATGTCACAGATGTTTCTGCAATGAAAACAAACATATATTCAGAGCCTGTGTCTAAGTTATAAGGCAGTATAAGCCAAAAGATACAAGATTACATTGCCTGGTAGTACTGCATCTAGCACAGGTAAGTCAGGCAACAAAGCCGCAAAACCCTTATTACTCATATTAACCCTATGGAGGTGTAGAAAACCAGGCCAGCTGCTTCATGAATCCATGTCACACTCATGCAGGGGCCATGTCTATCTTCTCTGTATTGTTCCAAGGACAGGATACGTGCTGCCAGAGGAGACCCTTTCAATACTGCCATTTCCATCTTCTCCATCCCAGGCATAATTTCTCCCTCCTTGTTTACAGAAGGCATGATTCACCTTGGTCCAGGCCCCTGCCCCTCACCATTCGGGTACCAATGCTCAGTTCTGCCTACACTGTGAAGTAGCTTTGTACTGGCTCTGTTCTGCACTGCCACGCGGTAGTGACTCATGCAAATGAAGGACTTTTCTGCTGGTATTACCTTTGAGCGGAATTGCCACTTCTACAAAATCTTTCTTGGAGCATTTATTGATCCAGTCATTGTGAACAAAAACATGTGCAGAAAAAGTGTAGAAGACTTCTTTTATAACAATTTTTTCCAAGAACCACTCATCTGATTGAAAATAAACAGAACATCATTAATTTATACCTTTTAAGCAACAAAATGTTCTGTGTATGCAGTCATAAGTTTCTATCTTTAGAAAATCAATAAAATGTTTTCTTTTGCCGGATTTCTTAAGGAAATAAGACTTCTGAAAATATATTGGCTGTGTGTAAATGTGTTTCTGTCTGTTCCCCTACACTCCGAAATAGTTGACAAAGTGAAGAAGTCTCAAAGTTTTTACAGATCTTGTGAAATTAAACATAAGGATAGATTTGATTTAATGATCTATTAATGTCCCAAAGGATGGAAAAGCTTCTGTATGCGATCTCTAGACACAAGAAGTCCCCCATAGGAAATGACATTATCAATGTCCTAAAGGAAAAAGGGTCAGGATTTCTGCCACATTAGCCATCAGAAAATCCACCCAATGCACAACTTACTTTCTGGTGAGGTTCTATGCTACCTAATAAGGCATAAACTTCAGCTGAAGGTTTTCTCTTGGTTGAGAACATTGTGTTGATTCTCTGGAAACAAAGCATTTGAAGACTCAGACCTCTGAGTCTTGGTAAACTTAGTTATGCTCCAAGTCTTGGTGAAGTCAATGAAAGTTTGATCATTTATTTTAATGTTAACATCTAGGAAGTATATGGGAAATAGACTCCAAATCAGTTTTTCTGAGTCTGAGTTTAACCTACAGAGTCATCTTATAGTCTTGGTTTTTTGACAAAGATAAAAGATCAAGAGACTCAGCTTGTCATGCTCTGGAACAATCTTATCTCCATTATCAACATTATCTGCAGAAGTAGGATATCTGTAGAATCTCTGTTCTGTATAAATTCTAGATGCTCCTTGCTGTTGCTATTTATTTTTAAGAAGTAAGCAATTTTCCTTAACTCCAACAGCTGCTGTGGAGTCAGAAGGAGAATAAAAAATGCTGCAGGAAGTGCTGTCTTTTTATCTGCCACTCAACCTCATGTATGCAGAATCCCTTAAAAAAGAATATATTTCTTGTGGGTTAGAAGCAAAAAAGCTATGAGGCCAGAACAGCCTTTCTTCTATGTTCCACTTCCCAATCTGATGAACTGATTTTCTGCTCTTATCTTTACCTAGGAGCATTTAGCCCTGAAAAAAAATTCTCTTTTAAAATGAAAATATCCATCATCTAAAAATGGACAGGAAGAAAAAAATGTCAAAAATTGCAAAAGCATGATGTCATATCACTTCCTGAAAAACAAAAGCTTTGTTGGCTGTACTCATAAATACATAGTAACTTTTATGGAGAAAAGTTTCACATATAATTTTACCATTTTACTTTGTCACTGCATTTCCTAGGAATCCTTTGCACATTTTAGTAAAACCAAGCTGGATACTTGACATGTATAGTCCAACAGAAATAATGAACAGCAGAAAATGGAGAGCAATTTCAAATTTTCCAGAACTTTAAAAAAAAACACTTGTGGTTTTTAATCTTAAATTTAAGACATTTTTGAAGTTCTAGGATCTCCTAAGTCTGATAATCTACATTATTGTTACCATACATTAACTGAAAAAATTGCTGACCTTTTTTTTGACTCTTAAATCCAACAAGAACTTGGTTCAACTTGCCAAGGTATACTGCTTTGATTTTGAAAACATCCACCTACAATATGAAAATAATCAAAATGATATTTTAGTTAAACTTAATAGGTATCTGCTTTTGAATATTTATCAGTTTAGCCTTGTGTGTCTGGTCATTGTTTTGTATCTCAATGGAAGCAAATTTATCTCATTTATGCCATTCCATTGTCTTTGAGTTCGTAATTAAACATTACATGCTATAACTGATATTTTCTGATCCAGTTAATAGTATGAATTACGAATTTCAAAATGCTGCTGTATTTAATAAGAAGTAACTTTGGAAACATCAGATGCACACATTAGCAACAAAGTGCTTATTTTTAGTACCTTCATGGACTGAAATAACCAAATCAGATCAATTACGACTTGTGTTGAAAGTTTCTTTGATCCAGAATCTAACTCCCAATGAAACTGATGAACAATAAGTGTCTAATAATACTGAAAATCTGGAGCAATTTCATTTTCACTAAAATTCACAGTTAATTTAGTGGGAATTAGGCAGGTAAATGGGAATTAAGCAAATAGTATCTGGGAAGATTTTAATCACTGTGCTATTGGGATAAGGATTTTTCATTGAAGCCATCTCTATAATAGGTCAAATTTTCCACATACAACAGACTTGCGTGATGAATAGGCCTCATGGAATCTTCCCTTTTTTCCCTACTGTAAATCTTTGTCATATATTCATCTTCTTGCATATACGTTTGTCATCTTCTTTGCACAGTCATCTTCCTTCATAATCAGTGGGAAAGCTCACGTAAGTATGCACACTGACACTGGGGATGCATGTTGCTTAAAGTGTGTACTTGTTGGCTTTTTTGGAACTGGGCCTGAAGAAATGAGTTTTGGAAACATACCATTCATGAATGGATTAATCTATTCTTTTAGGAAACCAGCTGCGGAATAAAATCTCCACGAGTAAGACTCTTTTATTTCTTGTGACTTAATGAGCTATCCTGTTGCAGACAGAAGCAGTTGTCTTGGAAAGACTGGGTTGAAGATGCAATTTGAAGACAAAAGTTGGGGACCAATTTGGGGGTTTGAAAACAAACAATAAAAATGTTGTATTGTTCCCATAGTTGCTGCCAAGTACAATGACATACAAAAATTCATGCTACCTGTGAGAACCATATTGATCACAAGAGTCATCTAGAAAAAAAGAGCAAAGACTAAGAACAGAGAATTAGGCATTTGAGGGCAAGTTGGAGTAAAGAAAACTGTGAGAGAATGAATACCCACACAGTTGTTACTTAAATTCTCTTCTTATAGAAGATGATTAGGGTGCTATAGCCCAGGATATAGAAAAGCCCTTTAGAGTTTCAGATGAAGGATTTAGCCTCCTGAACAGGCCCATTCAAAAACTGACACAGAATCTGGATTACACAGAAAAAATCCTTGTGAATTTGAAGATGAGTTATATCTCCACTGGAGTGACTATTCACAGAAGTCAATTTTATTGTTCACATATTTTT